GCCCCGCGCACCGCCCTCTCCGCCCCGCCCACCTCCGCCTCCGCCCCGCGCGCCCGCACCGGCTGGTTTCCGTCAAGGGAGGCGGAACCGGCCGGAAGAGCTGGGATTACCGTCGAGCGAGCGCGACACGTTCCAGAGGCCAGCCGGGCTCTTTCCAGGCCCTCACTGATTCAGCCCAAGGATGCTGAGCACCTACCACGTGCAAGGCTCCGGAGGAACAAAGACGGTGACGCAGGGCGCACACTGCACAGAGGCTGGGTAGTCCACACTGTGAGTGCACCGACACTGGAAAAGATGGTTATAAAAACCGCTCGAGGCCAGCTGGAATGAGTTCAATCTGTCACAAGCTTTGTGGAAAAACTTTGAAGAAACATTAAAAAAAAAAAAAAGCAACACTGCTGTCTTTTCAACTGACCTCTCTACCTTCTCCGAGGCCACCTCCCTGTCCCCTGTTATCCTTACATAGTCATTCATTCCTTCTGCATTTTTGAGCTCCTACTATATACCGTGCACTATACTAGGTGCGTGACATACAAATGCAGAACTAAACAGACATTATCCCTGCCTTCAAGGAACTTTAGAGACCAACCTGCTCTCGGGCTGGAAAAAAGGGAAACACTTTTGAGTTTGATGCGGGGTTCAGAAGAAAGAAGGTGGGAGGCAGAATATTAGAATTTTCACTGGAGCCCAATTTTACTAGTTTACCACTATTCAAGTACTTGTGTAATATTTGAGAAACATTATACATGCATATCTTAAAACTTTCTCTCCAGTTGTTCTCAGGGTTGCTGATTCATGATTTTAATCAACTGTTATTCATTTGGAAAAGATTTGAGTGTTGTATGCTGGTTAAATATATATATATATATATAGAGTGTTGTATGCTGGTTAAATATATATATATATATATATATATATATACACACACACACACAGTTTCTGCTTCCAAAGTGGATAAGGTTACAAATGCCAGTCTGTGATAAGGATTTGACCGTTTTAGCAGGGAGATGAGAAAAAGACCAAAACAACAAAACACTAACTACATGCCATATGTAGGTGCTTAAGAAATATTTAATATGCAGTATATGACAATGTGCAATGTATGATGGTGTTACCAAAACCCCAAAGGTCCGTTTTTTCGCCACTCAACAGCCAGTAATTGAGAGACAAGTGTTGGTATCTTTTTTTTTTTTTTAAAGATGACCGGTAAGGGGATCCCAACCCTTGACTTGGTGTTGTCAGCACCACACTCTCCCGAGTGAGCCACGGCAGGCCCTAGACAAGTGTTGGTATAAGGAAAGGTGGCCTTTAATCAGGAAGCCAGCAGCCTGGGGAAATGGCAGACTTATGTCTCAAAGACCATTTTCCCAGACTTGCCAAAGGGTTTTATAGGGACAGGTGGTAGCGAGCTGATTAATGGTGACCTAAGCAAGAACGTGCAGGCATAATAATAAAATTGTAGATAAACATCAAAGAACTTCTCGGATGGGACCGATTCATGGTGACCATCCTCCATGAAGTCAAGTCACGGATTCAGTTTCTGTTACCTCAAAAAGATCTAGTTAGTAAGCTAGTAAAGAATGGCCATCTGGGCTAATAATTTCTTCTATAATTATTCTGTGTACAGTATGAGCAAAAGTCATTATGTCCTAGCAATAGTGTGAATAAGAATCATTGTATTCTATGCGGTTTGGGTTACTTTTTAACTTAGAAGTTTAACAAAATGGAGTCACTTCTGTTCAGGCTGTTACAATGGTATAATATAAACACTTCTTGGGAAGGACTGTTCTTTTTTCTGTAGTTGTAAGAAAGTGAGCCAAGATGCCAGGTACCAATCAAGCTTTATTAAAGGAAGAAAATCTGCCGGGCTGTGCCCAAAGTGGCTGCCCTGAAAATGGGGGACAGCACCAGGTGTGGGGGTGCTAGAGCTTATATAGTGTGCCAGGGGCTGGCTGATACCATCAAGGAGAGTCATTATGCTAAGGTGGATCGGGGTGGTGAACTGTGTCCTTGCGGAAGCAAAAGGGGTTTGTGTTTAAGTCAGGAGGCTTCTTGTAAAGGGAAGCGGGGAGGAGCTTGGTGCTGGAGTGGAAGACGAGGCTGGCGGCTATTTTGGGCTCATTGTGTGCACAATGGCCCCAGTCACATCCCAAATCCATCAGTAGTTACTGATGATTTTCTGAAGTGATGATGATAGAAAAATGGACGTTTTTAAAATATTCTTAGCGAGATTAAATATTGGTGATCTTCCACAACTTCTCTGTTCACGGTAACTTCAGGGGGTGTTTATGTGAGTTATATACATAACATTGACCAAGTGGTCAAGATATCAGTTGTCATACTGTGCAAACCATGCCTATGAAATCTACACAGCCTGAGAAGTACTGGTCTCATGGATCCACACCTGTAACTGGTTCTTTTCCACCTTTGTTTCGTTTTTCCAGTGGTAAAGTGGGCGTTTCTCAAGGCTGGGTTGTCTACCCTCTGTTTTCTCTCTTTACACATTCACCTTTGTTTTTATTTTTTATTTTTTATTTTGTGTGTGTGGTTGGTGGGTATGGGGATCTGACCCCTTGACCTCAGTGTTATCAGCACCACACTCTAACCAGCCAGCCCTACACATTCACCTTTGGAAAGCTTATTCCTTTCACGGTTTCAACAACATGTTTCTATAGTGATTTACAGTTTATAAAATTCTTTAACAGCACAAATTAATGCCTGGTGTTATATGGATATGAGTTCAAATCTCAGCTCTTCCACTTACTAGTTTTGTGACCATGGGCAAGTTATTAAATCTTTCTAAGACTTAGTTTTTTGTAAAAGGGAAACAATAACAATACCTACTCATAGAGTTTTATGAGGAGTGTGTGAAATTATCAGTGTAAAATGTTTACCACATGTTTTCAATAAATGATGCTAGGACAACCAGATATCCACATACCAAAGAATGAAGTTGGACTCCTTCCTCATGCCATGAGCAAAACTTAAGTCAAGATCTATCACAGAACTAAGTGTAAGAGCTAAAACTATAAAATTCTTAAGAGAACATATAGGATGAAGTCTTCGTTACCTTGGATTAGGCAAAACCTTTTCATTTTATTCACTTTTTAGTTTTTAAATTTATTTATAATCCCACTCCTCCTCCTGTCTCCTTCTCCTACCCTATTTCCTTCCCCTTTCCCCTCCCTGCAACTGCTCCACAATATCATAGAATGTAAAAAAATAATATTAATAAATAAACTTTTTAAAAATATAAAATAAATTTATTTATTATTTTTTTGGTGGCTGGTCAGTTCAGGGATCCAAACCCTTGATCTTAGTGTTATCAACACCATACCCTAACCAAGTGAGCTCAAAGCTTTTTAGATGTGACACCGAAAGCACAAGTGACGAAAGAAAAAAATAATACATTTGAGTCCATGATGTACACTAGAGAGCTCAAGTTCGAGAAGCAGACTATGTCGGCCCAGATCGAAGTTGGAATCCATGGCCTGCACTTTTAAAAGAATCAGTTGAACTGAGGACAGCAGTGAAGCCCAAGAAGGTGGACGGGATGCACCCCAGGGTCCCGGTTCGTGCATAGCTACTCCCCATAGCTGAGCCGTCATTTGCACTATGAGTTCCCCAGCTCCTTTCCGGGGAAAGAAGAGAGGAGGTCCTGAGGGGTCTGTGGCCCCTCCCTGGGTATCCCCTGCAGCCCTGGGAGCCCCCTGGTTCTCCCTTCTTCACCTCCATGCCCAGCCAACCCAGGTTCTCAGGCCCTGTGCCTGCCTCAGGTCTTTCTCTCTGTAGCCTGCTCCCGCGGGTCTCCCACCCCTGGGCACATGGCACCTCCTGGCTTCTCCTGTAGGGCACTTCCCTCCCTACTCCCCACCCCAAGAAATGGTGGCCTCCTAGCCCTGCCTCTGGCCCCTTCCTGGGCTGCTGCCCCTTTAGCCATGTGACACTTCCGGTCCTCTGACTTAGGCCAGGGGGAGACCTCTGCCCCCTTCTGCTGGCCCTGAGTTACCCTTGGGCCCTGCTTCTCAGGCCACTCCCCCCACCCTAGCCCTGAGGAGGAGGTTACC